CGATCTTAGATCTGGGTATCACCGGTTGAGAATCAAGGAAGAGGATATTCCAAAGATAGCCTTTCTGAGCCGATATAGCCATTATGAGTTCCTTGTTATGTCCTTTGTCCTAACTAATACACCAACAGCCTTTATGGATTTGATGAATGGGGTGTTCAAACCATTTCTAGATATCACTGCGATCATGTTCGTAGATGATATTTTAGTGTATTCTCGATCAAAGGCAGAGCACATAGAGCATTTGCGAACAGTATTTTGCACGCTCCGAGAATGTAAGTTGTACGCTAAGTTTTCCAAATGCGAGTTCTAGTTGAACTCGATGACTTTTCTTGGGAATATAGTATCGGATGAGGGCATCAAAGTTGATAATCAAAAGATCAAAGCCTTTAAGAATTGGCCAAGGCCCACAACTCCTACGGAGGTGCGTAGTTTCTTGGGCTTAGCTGGTTACTACTGGAGATTAGTAGAAAATTTCTCTTCTGTTGCTACCCCATTAACAAAGATGATGCATAAAGCAGCTATATTTCAGTGGGACGACTATGAAAGAAGTTTCCAAGAACTAAAGAATAGACTAACCTCAACACCAGTTTTAGCTCTTCTTGGAGGATCCGAGGGTTATGTTATATATTTTGACACTTCTAGAGTGGGATTGGGTAGTGTGTTGATGCAATATGATAAGGCTGTTGTATATGCTTTAAGACAACTGAAGAAACACGAACAGAACTACCCGTCTCATGACTTGGAGTTAGCTGCTATTATATTTGCTCTGAAAATGTGGCATCTCTATCTGTATAGAGTTCATGTTGACATATATACAGATCATAAGAGTTTGCAATATATATTAATGAAAAAAGAGTTTAGACAACAAAGATGGCTTGAATTGTTGAAGGATTATGATGCTGATATTCTATGCCACCCCTGTAAGGCGAATGTTGTACATTAAGTCGAAAATCAATGGGTAGTTTAAGGCAAGTGGAGACTGATAAATTGGAGATGACTAAGGATCTGTATCGATTAGCTAATTTGAGTGTACGATTGCGTGATACCGGTGATGGAGGAGCCATAGTTCGAAATGCTGTCGAACCCTCGTTAGTGGTGAAAGTTAAGGCGCGACAATTTGATAACCCACTCTTTGTGAAAATAAGAGAAAGCATTCCCCTTCAAAAAAAATCAAATATTCAAGCTATCCGAGGACGGAATCCTAAAGTACAAGGACCGGTTGTGTCTCCCGATGTCGGGGGACTCTGAGAGCAAATTATGGAGGCGATATATCAATCCCGGTACTCGGTTCACCCTGGATCAACCAAGATGTATCATGATCTCTGACTACTATATTGGTGGAATGATATGAAGAAGAACATTGTTGAATACGTCTCTCAATGTTCAAATTTCCAACAAGTTAAGGTCGAAAACCAAAAACCATGAGGTTGCTTTAGAAGATGGAAATTTTGACCTAGAAATGGGAGATAATTAACATGGATTTTGTTACTGGGTTACCCCGTTCACACTGAAAGCTTGATTCCATATGGGTTATTGTGGATCGGCTCTCTAAATCAGCTCATTTCCTACCCGTTAAAGCTACTTCTACAGTGAAGATTACGCTAAGTTACATATTAAGGACATAGTACGGCTAATCTAATGCCCAATTTACTGCTAATTTCAGACAGAGGTGCCCAATTTACTGTTAATTTCTGGAGATCATTCACAAAGAGATTGGGTACGAGGATCAACCTTATCACAACTTTTCGTCCACAAACTGATGGCCAGGACGAACGCACTATTTAGACGCTCGAGGACATGTTAAGAGAATGTGTTTTGGACTTCAAAGAAAAATGGGAGGATTATCTACCACTTATCGAGTTTGCTTACAACAATAGTTACCATGCTAGCCTTCGAATGGCACCATATGAAGCTCTATATGGACGAAAGTGTAGGTCTCTTATCGGCTAGTTCGAAGTTGGTAAACAAAGTTAATAGGTCCTGAGTTGGTGCAACAGGCCGTAGAAAAAGTTAAAATGATTTGAAGTCGGTTATTGACCGCTCAAAGCAGGAAAAATTCTTACTCGGATATTCGACGACGAGATTTAAAATTTGCTGAAAGAGGCTTGGTATCTTAAGGGTGTCGCCTATGAAAGGCGTGACGAGGTTTGGCAAGAAAGGCAAGCTTAGCCCTCGGTATGTTGGACCATATCAAATGATTCAGAGAATTGTCCAAGCGGCTTATAAGCTTGAATTGATCCCAAAATTTAAAGCGTTGCATCCGATTTTCCATATGTCCATGGTTCAAAAGTGCTTGAGTGATCCATCCCATATTAACCTATTGAAGATATTCAAGCCACAGAGGACCTATCTTACGAAGAAATTCCGGTGGCTATCCTCAACCATCAAGTTCGTAAGATGCGAACCAAGGAGGTAGCTTCAGTTGAGGTACTTTGGAGGAACAATAATATAGAAAAAATGACCTGGGAAGCTGAAGAAGATATAAAATCTAGGTACCCCTTTTGTTCTATAATACGGGAGGCAACAGTGAAACTACTATAATAGACACAACCCAAAAGAATTAGAAGAATTTTGCAATAATGACTACGATTCAACACTCGAGTACGAACGTTCCGAAAGGGGGATGATGCTACACCCCACATTTCTCCCCACATGTGAAGTCAAAGGCTAATAATGATTTGATGTAACCAATCAACTTGCGGCGAGTTATAGGAAAAAAAGGGGTGACTGCATGTAACCAGATTTTGCCAGATGTCCCATCGGATGGGGTGGCCAGGGCGAGTTGACTCGTATAACACTTGGGGTAGTGGAACTTTCTAGGCTGGATATAAAAGGGCAGTGCATTTCTCCTCTCATTTAGTCCAGAGAATATCGCCAGCCTTAGCTCACCCAAATTGCTCTCAAGCTTCCTAAGAATTTCCTAAACGGATAGGGCTCGAATCAAAAGCAAACTTGGTGAAATTTTAGGTAAAAGGGCTTGCGATCATCACTGTACCATCTACATGCTTGTGATATTGATTTTGGAGATTTCTGCGGAAACAAAGGTAATCACCATAGAAGCGGGAGGTTCATGAAGCGTAGGTAATTCTTCAACCAGGTATGTAAGGTAGTCTTCCTTCTTGGCATGATTTGATATAAGTGTACCTTTCCATTTGACGCTCATGGTGTAAGCCGGAATTGGTGTAAGTTCTTCTTAAAATACTGTTCATGTTAATGTATGTTCTTCACCGGTAGCATTTCTTCCCCAGTATAAGTTATTTCCGAATAGTATCATAAGGTTGTAGAATATTGTTCGTTTTTAGTCTAACTTGATGTTCTTGTAATTGAATTCATATCATACCTTCACATCTATGTATTTATTTTAATTAACCGAGTCTCCGATGGGACCGGGTATGAAATGATGAGTTAGCTAAATACTACCGAGCCTTGACAAGGCCGGGTATGAATAATATGTCATGTGGTATCACCGATCCCCGATGTGGCCTAGTATGGAATAACGTGTTAACGTGATATCACCGAATTCCCTTGAGACCAGGCACAACCGAGACCTCTTGAGGATGGGTACGTTGTGATGAAAGCATGAGACTTTATAGAGTCCTCCTTGAGGTCGGGTATGATATGACATGGCACTATGTGATATGATATGCCCCGAAGAGTAGCTTTATTTTTGTAAAACTTGTATGCAATTGTAATTCGAAGTTACCACCATATACATCCCTGGTGGCCTTGTCTTCGGGATCCAGGTTGAAGTTGTGTACTCACGTCTTTTATGCCTTGCCTTCGATTTATATATGTTATCAGTTTTACATACTCAATATATCCTTCGTACTGACGACCCTTTCTTTTGGGCGTTGTATCCATACCCACATGTGCAGATAGACCTGGTGGCGTTCCTCCAGTAGGGTACATGTTTCAAATGTTAGTGGTCGCACTCCACTTACTTGGAGTAGCTGTTTAGAAGCCGATAGGTACTGATATGTATGTTCCAGTCATTTTGGGTACGGTGTGGCCCTATCCCGGTCAAGTCATATGTATACATATGTTGGCATTTTTAGAGGCTTGCAGACTAGTATTTGGATTTATGTAAGGGTTGGCTATAACCTTGTTGGCAACGATTATGAATATGTATAAAATGTTAATGTTTCTTTCAAAAATCAATTGTGAATATTTTAATTTTAGTATTACATTTGGAAGCCTTGTTGGCCCAGATATCATGTTAAAGAGGTTTGAGTATAGACTCCCAATCGCACTGGCCTTCGCGCATCGTGTGACGGTCGCTCCTCCGAGGTTGGGATGTGACACTTTCCTCGTTAATGAATTTTATGCGTTGCAAATTCGAATTAATTGGGGCCCTAATATAAGTATCAGACATAAAATGGCAATGGCATAGCCATATAGAGTGAAGAGTGCTTAGTTAAACACCTTTAATCAGAAAATTATACCGAATACATAGAAAATTATACTATCTATATATGTCCAAAATTATTTTTTATAAATATATACTAAAGTTTAAATACCCTTTGGAAAATTTCTAGCTTCGCTACTTTTAAAGGGAAAACCCAAAAAAAAAAAGTAAGCGAAAAAGCCCTGGGAGATTGTAGCTATGTTTGACATTAGGAATTCTGCACTGCGGAATATGGAACTTGTTGTGCCTTCTTATTCTTCTTTTTCAATTAAAGTTAGTGGTATCTTAAAATTGTCTTATCTGAATCAGATATTAGTTATTACTTCTTTAAAACACTAGCAAAGAGAAACTAAAAAGAAAGCAAGCAACCAACAAAGATTGTGGTAGATTGGTAAGTACTCCTTCATTCTTAACTAGAGGTCTCGGGTTCGAGTCCTTGGGTATTTTTTTAGGGAGCGCTTCACTCCCAATGCGGGACTTTCCGGTGCGAATCCATGTTTCGTCGGGCTCCAATGTGGATACCGATGCCCGGATGGAAAACCAAAAAAGAAAGCAAGCATTACACTGAAAAACACTCTACAGAGCAGATATGCCATATCAAATACTGATAAATATCTGTCTTTTCGTACACGTATCCTGGTTTCTTTAAACACAAACTTTTGATGTGTAGATTTCAAATTCAACATTGACGGAAGAGAAAGCTCCATATATACCCTCAGAAGTTGCCAAGAAATAATTAATGGCTAGTGAATCAATTAGTCAACTCGAAGAACTGGAACCTTTCGTCGCGCTAGTAGGGAGTCATTCATGTGGCTAATTTGGAGATAGAGCTGCTCGATTTTCTGCAAGAATGAAGTTAGTAGCTACAATTAGCTGATGACTCTTAAGTATATAGCAAGTATATCACAAGTATAATATAACTGCTTCCAAATTTTGTAGCTAGAATGAAGTAGTAGCTAGAATATTTTCTGAAACACTTCTAGGATAGATAATTTAACCAATCCAGGTGGTAATCTTAATGGCAAGAATTAGAGGTTTCATATGGACGGGTTAGACGGATTTTGGGCGGGTCAAAATAGGCGGGTCATTGGCCCGCCCAAAAGTAACTTGGATTGAGATGTGTAGAGTCTAGTTGGGCTAAAATTTGGGTCACAGAACAACCCGCCCAATTCTTATCAAGCTTTAATTAATGTGTATTATTTTCTAATGAATTGTTTAATTATCAAATAATACATTTTTTTCTTTTGTTATGGTCATATATAACATATCAAAAAAAAAATTAAAAAATATTTTAGTAAAGTAACTTATGGATTAATTGGGGGCTAAAAATCATTCAAACTTTAGATAAGCTGAAATGGGTTGGGTCAAAATGGGTCAATCAACAAATGGGATGGGGGGTCAATGATTAGCCCAATTTTGGGCGGGTTGGACGAGTCAAATGGATTTGGGCTCAAATTGCCACCTCCAGTAAGAACACGGGGGGAAGTGCACGGTTAGCCACTAATAACACATGTATTTACTTTTAAGCCACTGTTTAAAATGTCTTTAGTCTTTAGCCACTGTTTTAATAAACTTTACCTGCTCGGACGAAAACACCCTTATGCTCATAAAAGTTCAGGACCAAGTGTCCTTAACTTTTGAACTTGCAACTCTAAGTTCAGGACTTCAGGACTACATGTCCTTAACTTTTGGACTTGGAACTCGAAGTTCAAGACCACCTGTCCTTAAGTTCTGTGCTTGTAACTCTAAGTTAAGGACTACTCGTCCTTAACTTTTGAACTTGTGAGTCTAAGTTCAGGACCTATTGTCCTTAACTTTTGAGCTTGTTAGTCTAAGTTCAGGACCAAGTGTCCTTAACTTTTGAACTTGTAACTGTAAGTTCAGGACCAAGTGTCCTTAACTTTTAAGCTTGTTAGTCTAAGTTCAGGACCTATTGTCCTTAACTTTTGGGCTTCTTAGCCTAAGTTCAGGACCTATTGTCCTTAACTTTTAAGCTTGTTAGTCTAAGTTCAGGACTTCAGGACCTATTGTCCTTAACTTTTGAACTTGTAACTGTAAGTTCAGGACCTATTGTCCTTAACTTTTGAGCTTGTTAGTCTAAGTTCAGGACCAAGTGTCCTTAACTTTTGAACTTGTAATTCTAAGTTCAGGACCAAGTGTCCTTAACTTTTGAACTTGTAACTGAAAGTTCAGGATCCATAATGTAGCAGAAAACCAAAATAAAGGAACAATAAATTTATGTCATATGTTAAGAACTCCAAAATGAAACAACAAAGTGAAACTCGCATGATAAGAACACCATCCACCGGAATAAAGGAACAATAAATTTCTTGTGATCAAAGGCCAAGCAGCAGCAAAAATGACAAGAAAACATTTAATTTTAAAGGATCGCCTATTCAAACTTCCGGCATATGATGGAATTTTTGTGATTAAGGATGAACTAACAAATATCAGAACTTCAAAACTCGTATAGAAACCTAAGATAAATGAGAACCATACAGCAAAACAGAGTGTACTGAGAAGTCATAAGCGTAAAGAATAATGGCTAGAAGAAAGGATAACACCGTCTTTTCTTATTAATTTTAGTAGATTAGTGGCTACTTTTGCTTAGCATTAAAAATGCTGGATAAAAAGTAAATACCACTTTAAAAAGTGGCTACCCACGCAATTTTTACTAAGAACACAGATCAAGAATTGTGTGTGGAATTTAACTTCTATACATTGACTATATATACCTGGTCTTTTTCTTTGATAAGAAGCACAAGTTTCTTAGAAGTGTCAATCTGCCTTTGCCTCCGCCGCCTCTGTATTATCCAATAAAACAAGGAAACCAAAAGTACTGGTAATAGTCTAGTTCTAGTTGAAGTGAAAGTTCCAATTCCCACTTTACAAGCAGCATAATTTTTGGCCTTGGAAACAATCTGAACAATCCAAGAAGTTAATTCTCTCAAATGCTTCTTCAACCATCTATTTCCTTCACCTTTCTCATTATTATCATCACTATAAGGCACTGACAAAGTAGTTTCTGCAGCAGAAACTGCTGAGTTATGTGGTTCTTGAAACAGTTGAGGATCATTGTTATTTGGTAACTCTTCTGTGGTCACATCTACATCATTTTTGTTGCCAGCAGTAGAATATGGAGATGGGATTTGCTGCCATTCACTGAAGCTTTCTGAAACATCCTCATCTGCCATAATTTTTATTTTTGGAAAATTGAATAACTGCTGAAAATTTGAAAGTTGAGCTAGCTATACTATAGTAGTGGGTCTTTTCTGTCTTGATTTGTATCATAAAGATCTAATCTTGGATATTGGTTGGATTGGGGTAGGGATATTTAAATATCTAAATGGGCTGGGCAACTTGCTTTCAGTGTCTTATAACTTAATGGGGTTACTACTATTTCTGTTATTTTCACTTGAGGGACCAAAGCAGAAAAAGAAAATAGTACATATGTGCTATTTTTTTTTTTTTTGGTTTCCCACTCGGTGTACGGTACAAGCATTGGAGCCCGACTATATTCGGATTCGCGCGGCGTAGGGCTCCATTCGGGGAGAGCGCTCCCTACCAAGGATTTTTCCATGCCCAGGGCTCGAACTCGACATCTCTGGTTAAGGGAGGAGCAGTCTCATCCACTGCACCACATCGTTTGATGATTATGTCCTGCCTTTCAAGGCTATGGACATGACACTAACAATAACTTGATAACTTCGAAAAGACAATTAGAATTCATCAACGAAATAATATGATATGCAATCTCATTAAAGCTTTTACTGTCATTCGCTCGATTATTCTTTTAACTTTTAACTTCAAATTATTTGTTCTTCAAACCGCAATCCAATCATGTGTGGATAAATGGAAGGATGAGAGAAAGAGAGAAACCAATACTAATAATATAATATTTCATTATCTGAGGTCTATGAGTCCATCGTCTTGAGCAGAGGGTCTATTAAAAACAGCCTCTCTATTCTTTCGGAGTATGGTAAGATCTGCGTTACAATACTCTCCCCAAACTCTATTTGAGGGATTCCACTGAGTTGTTATTATTGTTGTTGTATATAAGGTCTATGAGTAATCTCATAAAAAATTGTGTAATAAAACATCCATACTCATTGATATGATAATAAAATGAATCTTATAAAAATAGAATAAAAATCAAAAACTTCGAGCCAACAAAGACCAAAAAAATTGACTCAAGAATCAATTTCATTTTGACCGAAAATTACAAACTGGTACTAATATACATTTTCCGTTGGACTGAACCTTTTATTTTAATTTCAAATTAAACATTTTCCATAATTTTAGAAACCAAATCTGTAAATAACACATCACTAATCAAATCAGTTCCAATTGACTTGTTAATTTGGCACGAGTTTTTAGATTGTTTGGGCACACCAATCCTTGGATCATAATGATAGCAGAAAAAACAGGTAAATTATAATATCCATGTAATATATTTCAATTGTAGATAGACCTCATGCATTTTAGAATCAAATATGCATACCTTTACATTACGAAAGTTCTAGATAAAATTACATAATAATGCACTTCATAAGTTGACCTTGCATTATTTTAGCTCACTTACAAGTTTGCAAATGTGTAGCCAAATATCAATCGTAAGTAGTTTGTTAATGGAGTTGAGGTTACCAAATTCTGAGGTGTCGGTATCAATTTATGCCGAATTGCTCCACATATAGTCCCCCGAACCACATTTTCTAAACGAACCAGAGCCAACCCGAATTGATCTTGTAAAAGATCTGCTACAGAACGAATACGTTTATTTTTCAAATGATTCATATCGTCAAGTGCACCCATTCCAAATTTCAGCCCAATCAAATGATCGGCGACTGCCAATATATCTCGTGGTAACAAAAATGTATTGTTCTGGGGTATATCAAGGTTCAGTCTTCGGTTCATATTTCGTCGACCAATCCTTCCTAATTCACATCTTTGTTGAAAGAATTTCTTTTGTAATTCCTTACATAAGGATGAATACGGCTTTCCGCAGAATTCTATATGTATCTATGAGATCGAGTATGGAATTCTGTTTACTCACTTTAAATTGAGTATCCGTTTCCCTCCCTTTCCTGCTAGGATTGGAAATCCTGTATTTTACATATCCATACGATTGAGGGTCGAATACTTTATGAAATGGGTGGAGTAACAGAAAATATAGCCAGAATGGCTATTTCACTAGCAGCATCCAAAATGCCTATACGAACTCAATTCATTATTTCGTAATGTAATAGAAAAAAATGTAGAAAGGGCTCTTAGATATGAAACAAAACCGCATGTTTCTTTTTTTTTTTGAACAAAAATATTTCTTTTTTTTCTTCGCCCTTTGCATTCAAAGAACGGATTAAAAAAATGATTCAACCTCAGACCCATTTAAATGTAGCAGATAACAGCGGGCGGTGTTCGTAGATGGATTGGACTTTTGGCAGGAGAGAATACTGATTGAGCACATGCTTATGATTTCTATCTATATAGGATATGCTAAGCCTTTTCTTATTTATCTATCTAGGAAGCAGAGAGATATTATTATCTTATTAATAGGTTCCTTCCCTTGAGGGAAAGAGACAAAAGAACAGACCTTTCCTACGAATGTGAATCTGCCAAGTAAGGGGGGTAAAGGGAGAGGTCTTTTTCTGTTTTCACGGGAACTTCTCCTTTTTGGTTAACAACCTATGTTATTGAACCTACGAATTCGCCAATTATGAGTTGGGCGCTTTAACCATTCAGCCATGGATGCTTAGCGGGGATCCTCGTACATGGTGAATAACCAAATTCCAATTGAAATGAAATCTTTAGGATAAATCAATGCAATTTAGGAGGAATCAATGAGAGGACATCAATTCAACTCCTGGATTTTCGAATTGAGAGAGTAATTCAGATTGATCAGAACAAATAGATATAGCAAATAAATGGAATTGGATGCTATGTCAATCCCATATATGGAATTGATATTCACATATATCAAGATAATATTGTAGATTGATCTATAGATCCATATCAAATGCAACCTCTATCTTTATTTTATTCCAGGGGGCAGCTTTATAACTACAATCTAACTAATAAATAGTATGGTAGAAAGAAATAAGCTTAGATCTGAATTTTTTTAGCCCACTTAGAGATGCCTTCCGATAAAACTTTTCAGAACTCCAAAGCATCCTGCACGATACAATCTGGGTGTGTGGGGAGGAAAAGGGCGGATTCAACAAACCCTTCCATACACAGGTCAAAAACATTTAATGGAGGTTATGAACATCCTGATAGCTTTCTCAGCTTACCTTCTTCACCTATTGAAATCTCCATTATTAGCTAAGATATAAAGGTCATTGCCTCTTCCTTAATATGTCTTTTCTTTCTCCAAGGCAAAAAAAAAATTCAACACTGTCTTCCTTCACTGCTAGAAATACGATCCAAACTTAAAAGGGATACCCTGTCCAAATAAGGTCGTCCAACTTATACTAAGATCTGCATTAATCCAACAGCATTGCATTAAAGTCTAGATGCTCATCCATATGGAAGCAATATGCTCATTCAGTGTCAAAGCACTCCTGAATAGAATAACAATAATTATTGCAGAGAGCGGTTTCTCGCATCAGATTTTAACCTATAAGATAAAAGGACATTACACATTATGGTCAGAAGTCAGAAAGCAGCTCAAACAACAAAAATGAATCAAGACAACTACATCAAATACAATTGAGAAAATCCACAGTACTGATATGCATTCTACATAACTACATCAAGTATACTTTGCAAAGAGAAATAGATTCACTTATACAAGGCTGATACATTATTTACAGGATCCAAATATCAAAAATTGCAAGTGAAAATCGTACAAAATTTTTGTCAGAAATGCTTATACACTTTTATACAATATTATACACTTTTATACAAAGAGGTATATTATATATATAGTTGTATAAAAGTGTATAAAAGTGAAGAGGAGGAGGAGGAGGAATAAGAAATGTATCAGCCTTGTATAAAATAATGTATAAGAGATGTTTATACACTATTATATGTTACTTATACAATATTATACAATATTATACAATATTATACACTATTATACAAATGAATCATATTAATGGAGCTTCACTGGTTCTTCTTCTTCTTTGGGCATCTTCTGAAATTCAACTCAAATCTACCTCAAATCTGCTCACTTCAAATTTGAGTTTTGAACTCCCTTGACGAACCCAATCAATTGGGCCAACACCCAATCCAAACAATTAACAAAATCAAAAAATCTAATTTTGAAATTGAAGCTTCGAATGACCTTTAATGGTGACTCCAAAATAGTAATTCTCTTAAGTGGTATTTTTTCTTCTCATCTTAATAGTGATTATCAACCTTGAATATGGAAGGAGAATTAAAGAATATATATAATGGTAGAGAAACTTTGGGGTGCAAAGTCGTAAAAGAGGAAGAAGAAGAAGAACGAAGAAAAGAAAAAAATAGGGTGGGCTAACTGGTGAAATGTTTTTCCAGATTATATACAACCTGGGCTATATCAGGTAAGGGCTTCAAATGTGGGCTTTTTTGATAGACTGTTGGGCCAAGTGACAAGGAGCGTAATTTCCCCAAAATTCCATAAAATTAGTTTGAATAATATTTTTAGTTTACAAGGGTGTAAAGTATTTAGATTTGTAAAACACGAGCCAAATCTCTAACTAGGTACATCAATTAATATAACTAAACATCAAATTAAAACTACATATAGGAAATTCCCAGATATTTAATTTTATGAAATATAAGAAAAAGAATATGGTATTTTTGTTGAAACTTTCTACGCACACCTTTAATTAATTAAAGAGAGAGAAAGGCAAAATTACCCAAATTGCATCTCTCCCAATTTAGAAACCATCCCAAAACACTCTCTTATCCTTTCCTTCTGGATTCATCTTTCCATCATCATCGCCATTGTTATTCAATGTCAGCTTATTCACATACCCTTAACCTCTGGGGAGTACTCTCCCAATCAAAGCGCATAATCAATGCTCACTCCCGCCATTTCTTAGCCCTTTCCGTTTCCTTCCTCTTACCTCTCTCTTTCTCCCTCATCGTTTACCCTACCCTCCAAACCGCCCTCTCTCAGTCCGATTCCATTATCTTCCACCCGCAAGCTCACCTCTCCTCCTCCTTCTTAACCCTCCCTAACCCGTTTGATCCGACCCGGGACCTAACCCGACCCGATCCCAATCTCCTCCTCGTTCTCCTTGCTTACACCCTATTCGCTGTTCTTCTGGCAATCTTTGCTGTGGCTACGATCACATACAGCACGTTCCATGGATTTTACGGTAGACCCGTCAAGCTTCTTTCCTCTATGCAGTCCGTTCTTTACTCCTTCTTGCCCTTAGTTGCAACCCTTATCGTTTCGCGTGTAATCCACGCTCTCATCGTTCTATTATTCGCCCTATTCGGGGCGATCGCTGTCCAGTGCGTTCAACTTCTAGGGTTTGAAGTGAATTATGACTCGAATTACTTTGCGGGTTTGGCTATTTTATTAGGAGCAGCGTTTGTATTGGTTTTTATATGGTTGCAGGTAAACTGGTCATTGGCTTATGTGATTGTAGTGGTGGAATCGAAATGGGGTTATGAACCGTTAAGGAGAAGTGCGTATTTGGTGAAGGGGATGAGACGGGTAGCGCTATCAGTGTTGTTATTTTTCGGGGTTCTGATAGGGTTGTTAGTGGGAGGTTGTTCTAGTTTTTTGGTGACTGTAGGGGCTGCAAGCGGAGGGTGGACGAGCTTCGGGGTGATACTGCAGATGGTGGTGAGCTCGGGTTTTGCAACTCTGCTAATGCTTCAGAGTCTTGCTGCGAGCGTGGTGTTGTATATGTATTGCAAGGCATTGCACGGGGAGCTAGCATTGGATATCGCGGAGGAGTTTGCTAGTGAGTATGTCTACTTGCCTTTTGATAATGAGAAGGTTCCTCATGTTGTTTGTGTTGTTCAAGGTTGAAATTGCCTAAGGTCAGTGGGTTTTTCAAGATGCAGCATTTACTTTATAGTTTGTAGAAATTTTGTTTTAATTTTACGCAGGCATGTATGTGGTCTCATAGTAGTTAGGAAATCATGTGAAGATGTGTAATCGATATGGATTATGCATCTCTATATGTAATAAGTTCCGTCGAAGCTGGATAGTGATTTAGAGCTTTCTTCTAGCTTCTCCATTTTGTGTATGTACTGTAAAAACTATCATTTCCTTAATGAAAAGTTAAGTTAGTTTGAATCGTATTTCCAGGTGCCCTAGCTTCAGTTATTGCTCCATGATAGTACTCTTTTTATGGGATGTTACCTGAAAAGATTTCCATAATAGTACCTAAAATTGTTATCTTTACCTTGAAAAAGCGTAATATTTTTTTCAACTCTAGAAGATCAACGATGAACTTATCTTGCTTTAGTAGTACAATTAGATCGGAAGCAAATTTAAAGCGCATTACATTGACTTTAAATGCTTCTTTTGCTTATATACATATCGGGTAAGTGCATGCAGCTGTTTTCCCCCTTAACAATCTGGTAGTATTCACAGACTGCATATCTTTTATCACTTACTAATTGTTTTATTGGCAAACTTAAACTTGGGAATTAGTATGCACTTCCACTAAGCTAGTTGCTTCTCAGAGATACGGCATACTTCAGATTGAGGATTTGTGTACGGAAGCTAGTGGGGTGAAAATATTCTTAAGGGGTAAGGAGTTGTGAGCTCTCATGGAATAAGAACATGGTCTTGTTTGAGTTAACAAGCTGAAACAGTCTATTAATTGCCCTTTCTGCAGCATTTTTAGCTCAGGCGTTTTCGGCTTGTTTGCATTACCCTTTTTTTTCATGATTTTTTCTACAACTTCAAGGGAATGAGTTGCATCATAATTGCAAGTTGTGAAGCTATCAGAGCCCGTTCACGATGCTCCTATTGTTTGCTCCCATTTTTTGGATGGAGAATCTGTTGCATTTTTTACAATCTCCCATGATTGGAATGTTGAGTGCTCGAGAGTCATGTAATTTTCTTGAGTAGTCTTTTAACATTTCCAACTTCCTCTGCCTGTGGATTTAGCATCAGAAAGCAATCTTCATCATTTGCGAATAAATCTTGCCATCATGTTGAGGTGAGTTTCCTAGACCGTTCGATTGTCAGCTCTTGTTGGAAGAAAAATCCCAACTGAGAGCTTTCAAGTTGTCAGTGGTTTTCGATAGTTTGACTGCTAATGTTTCTCAGTCACAGAGATGGTACACGTCGTGTTCTTCGGAATTGAATTGCATCTAAAATCATCAAGAATCCAATTCTACTTCCTTCTTCTATTATGCTGTCAGCCACCAGATTGCTATTGTACAATCTTTTCTTACTTGGAGAATGTTCTGTTATTCGTAAGAAAGTGTAGTACTATTTGTTTCTGATGATTTTTGGGATCAAAGAAGAAACCATTTATGGAAGGATGTTATGTATTAAGTACTAGTAACAATTGTTTGGTGCCATTACCTACATATTACTAAGGAGCAATTTTTAGCATTCTATCTGGTTGAGAAGAATTGCAAGAGTATTATTAGCCTTTTAGGATCATCTGTGTAGATAGTATGGTTTTAATTGCATTTTATGTTGCAAGGCAGGTGAGTAGCCTATAATTAAGTGTTCTATGCCCAGGATTGGATAATTTTTTTCATTGTGGTTCTGCCTTAAATTTTGTGGGTACGGCCAATTTGATTTAAGAATTCCATTCAATGTGGGAGACTAGGAAGTATTATTTCAAAGACAAGCATGCTGATATGGGAGTCTAATTAGATTATGTTCCTATTGGAAAATTTTATTTTGTGTCTCATACAACTTACACTAGTTGTATGAGGCAACTTTTTGTCTCACAGTTTTGTGGACCCAGCAGTGTAAGATTGGGGTGCACAATTTTGAGAGACAAAAAGGAGCCTCATACAACTAGTGTCAGTTGTATGAGACACAAAATAAAACTTCTCGTTCCCATTTTATCTACGGCTACGCTGGTGATTCAGTTATGACCAGACCAGGCGGTTGATCCTGGTTGAACCTAAAATTCATCCGGTTAAAATTTACAACATCGAACCAATAGATATATAATACTCCCTCCGTTCCAGTTTATGTGAACCTATTTCCTTTTTGCTCCGTTCCAAAAAGAATGACCACTTTCTAAATTAGGAAACAATTTAGTTTAAACTTACAATTTTACCCTTAATGAGAAGCTTTTATAACCACACAAATACTCTGGACACCTTTTTGATTTGTTTGAGACCACACATTCCAAAAGTTTTTATTTTTTCTTAAATTTCGTGTCCAGTCAAACATGTTCGCATAAATTGGAACAGAGGGAGTAAGTACTATGTCGGTGCTTATTTTGTTCTAAAATTTTAAACTAAATCTTAATTGAGGACAATTCAGCACACTTTTGTTCCGAAAAATTAAACTGAAAAACTGAAATTCAAAATGCCATTAACTTGTTTCTAAATAGTAACCCTTTGAAGTCGCTAGTTGGTGTCATTTCTACATGTACTTGCGCAAGGAGTAAATCACTGCCGAAAGAAAGTTCCACACTAACATTGAGTAGGGGGAATGGAAGGCAAATGGGAGAAAATGAGGGTGTGTTTGGTATGGCGGAAAATATTTTTCGAAAAATATTTTTTCATTTTCATTGTTTGGTTGCACAAAATAATTTGAAAAATGTTTTTCAAGATATCACATTGAAATTGGAGGAAATGACTTTCCTAGAAAAAGTTAGGAAAACATTTTCCAAACACTCCACTTACCTCACATCTAACCCTAACTCCTACTCCACCTCTCCCACCCCCTCTTTCCAAAAAGGCTTCTTCTCTTTTTTTTTTCTTTTTTTTTTTTCTAATTTTAGTTTTTTTCCGTCACCACCCACCCTGCTCTCACCACCCCCTCCGAATTTTTTTTTTTTTTTTTTGTATTTTCAAATATCTGTTTTTCCGTTTTTCTGCACCACCCACCCCCACTTCCCCCTACCCCGCACAAAAAAATGTTTTATTTTTTTATTTTATTTTGTAATTTCAAATTTTTATTTTTTCGTTTTTCTGCACCCCCACCCACCCCCATCCCGCACAAAAAACTTTTTTAACTTTTTTCTTTTTTGTAATTTTAAATTTCTGCTTTTTTGTATTTCTGCACCCATCCCACCCCCCGGATTTTTTTTAATATATTTTTTCAGTTCTTTTTTCATCTTTCGATTTACAGGTTCGAAATATTACAAGTTCCAAAGTTATGAGTTCGGAGGTTTATGTGTTCGGAAGTTTATGAGTTTAGAAATTATAAAGTTTACGGGTTCGAAAGTTCGCGGTTTCGAAAATTTAGCGGTTCGGAAGTTTATGAAATTTGTTGGTTCGAAAGGTTGTTGGTTCGAAAGTTTATGGCTTCGTGCTTATTGTATCTAAATTATTTATGAATACTCTTGAGAAGCTATTTTCCTTAATTTGCGTACCAAACACCTGAAAATGAGTAAGATTAGTACTTATTTTCCAAGAAAACATTTTCTTGAAAAATATTTTCCACGAAAAACATTTTTCGTTATACCAAACACACCCGGAATCTCAAAACTTATACTTAAGCTAATGTTCATAATATGTTATTCCTTTCTGCAATAGAAATATATACTTCGTTATGCATTTTGTTCTATTTTTTTTTTTTTTTTTGACACTATACTACTTAAAGAGGTAGAATGTTGTTTCTTTTTATCATGATATTCTAAATATTTTTTAATTATCAATTTTAAGTGTAAAATATTTACACTGTCTTTACGAAGTTCCTAAAATTAAATATGTTAAAAAGTTGAGCAATATGCTGAAATCATAACAGACCTTTTATTCCAAACTCATTATTATTTGTCAATGGGTGGTATTTAGTGGGCTTTTGGACATAAGAATTGTGAAATTTCGCAAAAAAAAAAAAGTTGAAAATGATATTTAGAATTAGAGTTGTGTTTTACATGAATACAAATCGGAGTTGTTTTTATATTTTTGTGGGTGATTTTGAGTGAATTGTGAAAAATAGTTTTTTAGAGTTTTTCAAATTCCGGAATTCAACTTCAAGTTGGATTTGGAATTTCATGGGAAAACAAAGTGAAATTTTTTTTTGGAAAAAAGTGATTCTCTCTTGTTTGGCCAAATAATTTGGGAGCTTTTTCTTTTTCAAATTCTATTTTCAACTATCTGTTTGTTATAGATTTTAACCATTTTGGGGCAGATTTTAAAAATAAATTTTCAAATCCCAAAAACAACTCTAGAGTAGTTTTTGAAGTTTCCCACTCACAAAACTTCAAATTCTTTTCAAGTAAAATGCATATCCAAACATAATTTTAATTTTCAAAAATTATTTTTTATTTCATCTTCAAAAACACATTTTTTCAAGTTTCAACCAAATATATGTTCAAACGCTAGCGAGTTGTTTTATGGCCAAATGTGCCCTAAAGTAAGTTGAATTTGCAACACCAAGTAGGCGTTAATATTTAAAAAAAAAATAGTATATGGAGTTAAGTTGAAAAATGATACTAGTATTTAGAATTTAAAATTATTTTTGGACATACATTTCACTTGAAAAAATGTTACAGTTTTGTGAGTGAGGATTTTTTTTTTTTGAAAATTTTGAAAAAATAGTCAAAATCACTTTTTGCTTTTTGAAAAAACTCATGTTCGAAAATTTCTAAAAACTTGCAAAATTTTATGGATAAACCCATTTTTGAAAAAAAAAATATGAAAAAAGGTTTTTATTTTTATTTTTTATGGACAAACGGTCCCAAAACACTTCGAACGAAAAAACAAAGAGAAAGTACCCTTTCAATTCTAATTCATATTGCTTCTATATTTAAAATGTCCTTAATGATTGGTCAAATTAATCATAAAACCATTTTCACATATTGTTATCGTAAATCAAATTACTGTTAAATTATTCTTTTTTAATAAATTATACTGTTGCAGTAGCTGCGTCGACTTGAAGAGTAGCAGAAAGCATCAACCAAAATGGAGCAGAATAAAGCTTCCGCCCCTGTCCCTCCAACCAAACGCGTCCGCTGCATCGTCAAGCTCGGTGAGTTATTCTTTTTTCTTATCGGTGAATGTTTGTATTGATTAAATATTGCTTTTTAATGTTTTAGTTTCTTTGAGTTGAATTTTGATTGTTTCTCTACATTTGATCTGATATCTGTGGATTTGATTGAAAAATCTGAAATTTAGAATACCCAGTTTGCTTTTTCCGACCAATACTAGGGAGAGTGATCTGGGATCTTGAGCAATTTGTTTATTACTTTATCATTTACTTATTGGAATGGCTGAGGTATTGAAATGGGTCTAAGAAGTTTTAGAAATTTTCCTTCTGATGTATCTAAATGGGTCTTAAAAGTTTTCATCTGGGACAATTTGTGATAATTTTTACCTATAAATAAGAAGGGAAAAAATAACTCATCCTACCAGGAAGAGGCTCTTATTTTTGTGAGGTCCAGCCCCATCTACCAAAATGTGAAACCATGAAAAAGAGGAAAGAAAGTTTGTTGTTCCTCTTTGAACTTAATAGGCGGCCAGTCAATATTTTTATGTGTTTAGGGCTGTCTAAGGGGAGGGTTCTGGGTACTTTAGGGAACTGGGTAAGGGGGCGGTACCGGTAAGGGAGAGGTTCCTTAAGGGGACTGGGGCTAAGGGGAATTAAGGGTACGGGGTAAGGGATTTTTGGGGGTACCGTACCAGTACCACTACCGGTCCTAGGGTAGGGTACTTGAGGGGGGCGGTAAGGGTACTTAGGGTAAATTGCTATATTTAAATACACACAAACTTTACGGGATGGAAAAATTCAAGGCTATGAAGTGTCTTTTATTTTATTTAATACAATGTAAATATTATATTTCTAATACAGGTTCTAAGTATTTATTTGTATTTCAATAGTTATAAATATAAAATTACATATTTCTTTTGAAGGATTTATATAATTTTTCATTAACTTCTAGTGGTTCTTCGGTCAATTGGAAACAACCTCTCTACCTTCACAAAGGTAGGGGTAAGGTCTGCGTACACGCTACCCTCCCCAAACCCCACGATGTGGGATAATACTGGGTATGTTATTGTTGTTTTAGTGGTTCTTCGCTTGAAATTGATAGTACTAATTCTTCTGCATTCCCGCCATTTCCGGTAGATAGTATTTCATTATAAGCATCGTCGTCTTTTTGAATTATTTTTGGAAGGCCAATGTTTTTTCTCTCTGTTTTAATCCATTATTTCAGTAAGTCTTCATTTCCTCATCCTCGCAAACATCATTTCTAACCGTTGTTCTAGGAAAACCTTGAAAAGCAGAAATATACGTTTCTTGTATGTAACAGATAAACTCGGACTGGTTAGGATTTTGTTTCAAAAAGAGGGACCCCCTCCCTAGCATTACCCTTATTCAATCTATTAAACACTTTTTTTACTAGTTTAGCAGCCATTTTTAATAATAAATAATTAAAATAACAACAAATAGCAATACAGGTATAACAAAAATAAATGCGAAACTTAATAAAAGTTGTAACGAGTGTACCAAACGCCAATATATAATTGATGTCAATGGAAGTAAGTTGCTCCGACTAGTGGTGTACTACCAACAAAAAAATACGCCACCGTATAATTAATGTTGATGCTTGAAAAATTATAGCAAAATAATTGAGTGCTATAATGTTAATTGCTATGAGAGAGAGAGAGAGAGAGAGAGAGAGAGAGAGAGAGAGTTTTATGTGATAAATGAAAGAATAAAATGAGGTATTTATAGTTTAAAATAGAGCCAAAGTGTAATTTAACAAACTTAGAGGTTAAAAATATAAATTGAGGGGTAGGGAGGGTGTTAGGGGATAGGGAGGCAAAAATAGTCGTTTTTGGTCGTTGCCAATAACCGTTGGCTAACGGTAAAAAAATAGTTAAATTTGAATAAGAAAAAAGGTTAAGGGTACTGGTCCGGTACCGAACCGCTACCAGTTCGGTACCTTTAGGGTACCAACCAGAGCGGTTCTAACCCCTTAGCCCCAATCCCTTACCCCTAAACCCAACCGGACCGGGACAAAGCGGTACGTGTACGGACCGCACCGATTCCGCGTAATCCCCCACCCTTAGACAGCCCTAGTGTTCACCAATGTCAAACTTGACTTTTGGAATAAAGGATAATGACATCACAAGGCAATTCTACTAATATATATAAGCCAGAGCTGTCTCAGTTGTATGACACAAAACACTGAGAGCAAGAGAAGAATTTACGAAGTGTGAGAAATAAAATACTTTGAGAGGAAAAATAAAGAGTGTGAGAAGTATTATAGTGAGGTGGAAAAGTTCTCGCTATAGTGAAATCAATTGCTACTCTTGGTTCGTGGTTTTCCTCTTTTTAATAAAGATTTTCCATGTTAACAACTAGGTGTCCCTGTTTTTATATTATTATCGTTAATTAATGTATTTTGGTTCTTTGTGTTTATTGCAGTTATATACCGTGAATATTTTTTGTTGGTTATTTTTTCTAGCAATTGGTATCAAAGCATATGTTTTGCTCATACATAAAATTATTGTTCATGGTCGGTTGTAATGTACTATGTGGAAAAAAATATCAGGAGTAAAGTACGGAGTAACAAAATTCAACAGTGATAATGGTTTCTCTATATGACAATGAAGGCTGAATGATCTACACATCCAACAGGCAAGGCATTAGATGGCAATGGGACGAAACTCGAACCCGTGAAACCTGCGGATTAGGCCGACATGGATGGAAAGACGGCTAGTGCAATCTGATTACACATGTCCGATGAAGTACTCAATAATATAGGTGATGAAGGTAGCACCTGAGACATTTGAAAAAAACTAGAAAGTTTGTACATGTCCAAATCCTTGACAAACAAGTTGTTTTTCAGAAAGCAAATGTATTCCTTTCATATGACTGAAGGTACGAATTTCTTGTCATAGTTATATATTTTATGGATTAATCACATAGCTAGCCAATCTCGGAGAAAAATGTAGTGAAGTAGATAAGGTTATCCCGTTCCTAAACTCATTGCCATCTTCCTGTGATAATTTAGAAACAACTATCTTGCATAGTAGAGAACTAATGTGCATCTGATGCCACAGATCTGCAGTCCCTTCTCACTATATGGCGCAATATTTGGTGCCACAAATATGCTCGTATGTCATCTACAATCGCATCACATACTGAGTGGTTGCCTTGTAGAATATGTAGCGCGCAACTCCTTTAGCAATCATCAATGATCCTTTGATGAGCCTTCACTTCCTATTGGCGAAATGATTCGCGTACCCGCCTCAATTTAGAGCGATCCCTGAAATCAAATTCATTCGCAGATTTGGTATGTGTTGCACAGCTTTAGAACTAATGTGTCTCTGACATTTGCCTTGATACAAATGCCACTAATCCCCACAATTATTTCCCATCTTGACCGTCCTAAAGTTTCCTGCGGTTGTACCTATAGAAGCACTATTTCGGAGTGGCATGGTAGGATGTTGCTGTATCAATCACCCATTTTGATTCCTGGCTTGCCAAGTATATGCATCCTTCCTCCTCGTGGATGAAGAGAGCCACTAAATCATCATTTGCACTACGACAATTATGTTGTCATGGCCACTGCTTTTGATCTTTCTTTTGGATTTGGGCAATTTCTTTTGAAGTGATCGGGTTGGCCGTAATTGTAACAATTTCTACCTTTTGACCGGTCGCAGGACTTTCCACGACCTTTGAATTTATCACGGCTACTCGAAGCTTTATAATGACTCCTGCCTCTGTTTTCCATGATAAGAGGCCTATAATGACTCCTGCCTCTGTTTTCCATGATAAGAGCCCTGCCCCAATTTTCAAGCTTTTTCCTTATCTTCTCATTGAGTAGGATGAATGATATGATCTCCTTTAACTCAATGGCATCTCTACGACGCAGGATGATTATTCATAGGAAAATGGCAACGAGTTCAGTAGCGAGATAACCTTATCTACTTCACTAATTTGTTCTCCGAGGTTGGCTAGCTGTATGATTAATCCATTTAACATATTTAAATGTGATAAGAAATTTGTACCTTCACTCATATAGTTCCTTTCTTAAAAATAACTTGTTTGCCAAGGTTTTGGACATGTACGTGCTTTTAGTCTTTTCTAAATACCACGGTCACTATCTTAATCACCGACATTATTGAGTACTTCATTAGACAAGTGCAGTCGGATTGCACTAGCTGCCTTTTCATTCATGTCTACCTAGAGCCGTCGATATGGGCTTGGCCTGCTGGTTGGCCCAACCCAGCAGAGCAACTGGTTGAAAAATCCTTCTAAATAATTAAAAAATCACGACCCGAGAGGAGCAACTGATTTCACTATAACAAGTACTTTTACACTTTGTAGTTCCGAGGAAAATACTCAAAAGAAAGAACCATTTTTTAATTTTTCTATGATCCTTGTATCTTCTTCAAGGAAAGAGTTCCTTTACTTATCAACTCTCGGATACCTCAGCTAGGATGTGCTTTCATCTTGCACGAAACACTGTTATTTTCTTTTCTGATAATTTTTACCTACAAACAAGAGGGGAAAAACTAACTCCACACATGTGCAAAACATAGCATTACAAGCCTGGATAAAGGAGAGTTATAATAGTTGACGGACAACATAAAAATAGCCAAACAAGAATGTATATTCTTTCACTGATACGGAGGATTCCTTGTATATGAGCCCATAGTTTTGGGATTGAGACATAGTGATTGATTTTACCTGTAGAAAAAATAAAAATAGAAATATGTTGGTCACTTAACAATTAGAATGGACCAGTTGATGCTCTCTTTGGAGTTTGTATTTAACTATTTTAGGTTACTCTTAACAATGTATAAATTGCATTTGAAGTGACATCAGGTTGGTTTAAACAAGGGGATTTGAATCCTTTTCTACTTATTAGCATGTCTTCTTTCAGAGGATTCATTATTTGTTTACTGTTTAGTTCAGGAGGTGCAGCGATCACATGTAAAAACAAATTGGAGACTATAGATGAGGAGAATCTTAAGGAAGTTTCATCCCAGCTTCGTCAAGCATTGATTCCAAATACTGATTCTGCAAAAGTTCTTGGAATGGATTGGAGCAAAAGGCCTGGACAGTCTGAACCTCCAAGTTTCGTCGATGAGTTCAGTGATCAACCAGTTGCGGATTCAGAAAGTTTTATTGTTGTGCATGGAGCAGGTTGATATTGTCGAGTGTGCTTAGTCATTAGCAAGATTTCTAAGGTTCATTAGCCAACAAAACATGTGAATTATGAAATGAATAAAATATAAATCTACCAGATTTGCTGCTCTAGAAGGACAATTTAGTTAGTTTCGTGTAAACTCGTGACACTTTTACGTTGTCATCATTGCCTTCAGGTTCCTTTGGACACTTTCAAGCTAGCAAGTCAGGTGTTCATAAGGGTGGACTAAGCCGACCTCTTGTCCAGGCTGGTTTTGTTGCTACAAGAATTTCAGTAAGATCCAGCCCTCACCTTTCCGTTTTCAGGAAATATCTTTGTTCCACGTGACACACAATTTTCAACTCTATTATGTAGCTGATATTTTGTCTTTATTCCTTTTCTACATTCTGCTTTTAACTTCGGACTAGTGGTGCCGTTGCTGAGACCTGTGAAATATTTTTTTCCCTCTGTTTTCTTTTGCATTTCTACATTCCATGGTTTTTTCATTTGGGTCACAAACATTACAGAAAATACTTCATGCATGCATCTTAGTTCTCTTCTTTGGGCATATTTCCAGGATCTTATGCGGGCTTAACGTCCATGCTTGAGTTCTTATCTACTTAACCTTATGCACTACCTGAGAGATGTCTATTTAGGTGTTCAAGGAGCGAGTTTGGTGTTTCCTGCACAAATTAAGTGATTATGACTTAATTACTTGTTGGACTCCTTTGTCTCTATGTAATGATCTCCTTTTTATGCTTTTGCTTTGACGCCCTGGTAATATGCGATAGAATACTCATTTTTCTTTATTCCAGGTCACATCCCTCAATCTTGAAATCGTGAGAGCCCTAGCAAGAGGTACTCATAACAATTTCTTTTATATACCACTAGTCTCTAAGCCTGTCTTGAGATAGATGAGATTAAATGTTACTGGTAGCGTGACATGTATCATTTTCACATCTGCACTCCATTTACCTCCAGTGGGTCTCACTTTGGGCAGGGTTGGGATTTGAAATGAATTTTGATGTTCAAGTGCTGAAATTTCTCTCTTAGCCCAACTTCTTTACTGCACGATAAGAAATAGGATTTGAAAAGACACTGTGAAGGCCATAAGTAATTATCATATCAGATTGGAGGGGCTATGATGCTCTGTGGAAGATGTTACAAGGGACACATCACTCTTTTTAAAGCTAACATCCGAATTAATCTAGTCATGCTGTTGATCTTCATAGTACTAGATAACTTGCCATCCAGTCAACCGTCAAACAATCAACGCTCTTCGTGTACAAGGCTTGTTAATGATTCATCATAAATGCATATTTTTAAATTGAAGGGCTTACTTGAATTCACTCTTCACAGATTACTTAGTCATGCGCTACATTACGATTTTATGTCTTGGTCTCTTACCAGTACATCCCTAACAAACGGTTTTTGTTGTTGCAGAGGGTATTCCTTCCATCGGAATGTCTCCATTCTCATGTGGTTGGTCAACATGTCAAAGAAATGTTAGAAGGCGAAATGAAGATAATTTTATTAAATGGATATATTGCTATATTTTTAAGCTCTTTCGAAAAAAACAAATTATTCCTTGCCATGAAATTGTTTGAAATTTGACAACTTGTGCTTTTGCAGATGACAGAGGCTGACATTTCAATAGTCATTAAAGCTATTGATGCTGGTTTTATACCTGTGAGTTTAAACTCGTTGGGTCTTAGCCTGACCACTCATTATTTTTCACACATATAACTATCTCCTTAGGCTCTGTGATTATTTTTCAGTTTTGTTTTTTATGTGAAACAGAGACTTCCTGACCATATTCTTACCTTTCCCCTGATATCTTCCATATCATTTTCTTAGCCAAGCATATCATTCAAAATGTGCATTGTGTAGGACCTGTAGGTAGCTTTCTCATGATGTTTAGGCTTTTCATGTCGAGGAGGTGCTTAACTGTCAGATCTTTTTTATGTGTATTCATAAACTTGATGTTCCACATGAATGTCTAGAAGAATGATATATATATATAGTGCAAAATCTCATGATCTTATGGGTTTTGACATTACACCAAAAGCTAGAAAAACCTGTAGAACATGGAGAAAAGGAAAAAGTTCTACTACTCAAAGCTCGTTCTAGCTTTTTACTTTTAGGATGATTCTGTGCGTGAATGTTGTTGGTAATGATGAATCGCACTGTCTTACTGTTTTTGACATGTTGATCAAGAATTTTGAATCTATTCTTCTTGGAGGAGGGCGCTGCTGTTGAGCCGCAGGTGCCAGCACCAGCTAAAGACCCGAAGCTTGTAAACAACAGATTATATGCATAAGGAAAGGAACTCTGATGATCCATGGGATCCTTAGAATCTTTTACTTCGGGATCTGTTGTTTTCGGGTTGAAGAGAGAAACATGCATGAAATATTAAGTAATAAGTGAAAAAACGAGTACTGGGCGAAGGAATTAGTGAATTACACACGAGGATTCAAAACTGAAGTTAACAAAATTCATGTGGCCCTCTTACCTAAAAGGGAATCTGACCTTCCTATTCAGTGGATTGTTCTGTGCTTAAAATTTTGTGACTTATAAGCCCACATATCTAAACCAAAGGCTTGCCATGTAAAAATTATAAATAATCTGCACATCCAATCCAAATCCTTAATATAATGGGTGGAGTAGCCGGACAATGATAAAGCTCTTTTCTGCAACTCTTAACAAGGTGCGGCATGTTGTGTATCTGAACATTATTTCGCATATGTAATCTCAACAACTTGAGTTTTAATGAGGCACGTAGGTTGAAGAGTGAGTTTAGAGCAAAGAGATTAGTATCAACAAGTTGAAGAAGGGATCTGGAGGATTGAAGCATAGAAACTGGGTTCAATGAGTAGAGAAAAGAGAGCCTACAATAGATCTAGTGGCTAGTTGAGTTGAGTAGACTGAGGCAAGTGCAAAGCGACTAATTGGGTAGAGGCAATATACAATTGGACTAGAAGTAGAGAGAAAATGGTTGATTGAACAGATTTACATAGAGAACATTTTTACCTAAGATTAGCTCTGTTACCTTGTAAAAGAAACCGGATTATTGAAGCCAAAACCTTATGATAATGTGTGAAGCAGCCAAGGTCATAATGTAACTTTTTGGAAACTTTAAATTGATGCATGACATCTTATCTCTAACAAACTATGACAACCCGCAGAAAAGAAAATTAACAAAAGTGGGGTTGGGGCTAAAATCTTTTGGATGAGGGCACTCCCATCATGCAAAACGTTATGTTTCATTCTTAAGGGGGGGTGGGGGGTGGATAGTATCGATATAACAGTATGTTCCCGCTATAACTTGTGCTTCTAGCTCCTTTTCACGTGCTGGAGTAAAGTATCTTCCATCTATTTGAGTATGACTTGAGTTTTAGTGTTAACTATCTGCTATACCACTAATATAGGCACAAAGGATCGCTTTAATTACGATGTACGAGCAGATTTCTGTTGAGAGTTAAAGATATGAAGGCATATAAAGTGTTTTTTTTTCTTTTAGCACAACATTTGATTCGTGACATTTAATCATTACCAAGAAATTTTAAGAGATATGGAGAACTTGTTCCTCACTCATAGTAATTCATGTTCCTTATGGGAAAAATACCACAGATGATTGTCTCTCTTACAATCGCATATACGCATGAAACCTGCTGAGTGCTGATACCTAGCCGTATGGGTTATTTCAAGAGTTAAAAGCCAATAAATGTAATAAGACATGGTATAAACTGTCTGTGCATAATGTTAAGCTATCTTTATACCCAAAAACTATACTTCACAATCAGATACTTTTGTATTCAAGCATAACCTGAGTAGGTTCGAGTACAACTAAATTAACTATGGATTTTCTAATGTTAATGATAGTTCATCACTAAATTATATACGAAAGAAGCTGACGGTTAAAGTTTATTTATGCAGTCCGAAAGCTTTTCAAAATTTTATTTTACTTGAATTAGTGTCATGTTCATTTTAAACAATGTTAACCTGTGTGAACTAACCAATCTATGTTAGCAAAAAGAAAAGGATGGTTTTCTGCAAATGTACTTTAGCTTAGCTTTCGCTCTGCCTTGAGCGAACACTTTTGAGTCTTTTCTTCATTGCAAGGAACTTCTATTATATTGCCCTTAATAAAGCTTTTCTTCATTATTCTTTCATAGGATATCAGATTAGTGAATTAAAACATCACTTCCTAATTTGGTCACTTTGTTATTGTAATTGGTTCAATTTTCTAATTTTGTGAACATAATTATTGGAATGTTGTAACACAAGTTCATTTGAATTCCAGGTTCTGCATGGAGATGCTGTCCTGGATACATTACAGGTCTGTTTTTCAAGTATAATTGAACATTAACTTGGTTGTCATTTACTTAATCCTTTCACTTGTTCAGGAGTGCACTATTCTGAGTGGAGACGTGATAATACGTCATTTAGCAGCTGAACTAAAGCCAGAGTTTGTTGTTTTCCTTGTATCCGACGCATTGTTATGTAGAGAGTGCATTCTGATACTGTTCATGCTGGAGATTTGCAAATTAGAATAGTTACTCCAAAAGACTTTCTAGATTCTTAATTTTTTTCACGAATGTGCTAATTATGCTTGAGACATAAATGTCACATTGAGAAAATAGTCTTAAAGTGGGTCCGAATGCTCTTTCTAGCAAAATATCTCTGTAAAACTATAAGAAGACATCATCCCTGTGTTGTATGTGAAGGTTCATTTACATTCTTTTCGGAAACATTGCCTTAAAACCTGCAATCTGTTTTTAGATTTAAAAGGCATTGTAGATTCTATTTCTAGATCCATCTCAGGATAACAGATTTGCGTGTAGGTGCTTTCTAGTCTTGCACAAAATGAATACAGAACCACTAACTTGGCAGACAGACATAAGCTTTTACTTTTCATCTCATCTTCGTGGTACTTTGTCTTTGATCAACATGAGATCTTGTTCTGTAAATGCTATCCTATACATCTTGAGTGAAGACGGATGTACTTGGCGTATATGATCGTCCACCAGTAGAACCTGGCGCTGTGCTTATCCAGGAAATTGGTAAATGCTCCATTTTAGCCCTAGAGTTGGGTTCATTGTTTTGAATATATTACTTTCCATAGAGCAACTACCGGAAGCTGCATCATACTGAGACGAGAAATGTTTACTTGTGACAGCTGTACGTGAAGATGGAAGCTGGTCGGTAGTGAAACCTAGATTAGAGGACACAAGCAAGCCAGGTCAGTGTAGAACAATCCTTACTTTGGGAACTGAATATGCATTTGAACACAAATGTAGCTTCATTCTCATATGTGCAAATTCCTCAATAAACAAGCCCACAATTACGTATAAGGAAGCCAGAGCCAAAAGGAGAAGATTATACTGTTGGGGGCTGCGAATCTGATTGCCTTGCGTGCATATATCAATCGGAATAAGTACATCTGTTCTTATACCGTAATTGCAACTGAAGAAGACAGTGCCATGCTGGATTAGCTGCTTATTTCGTTATAAAGGCACTAAACAACTTGACTTGCATTCAACTTATCTTCAGAGAGAGTTTGTTACTTGGTATTCATCATTCCTCAATCTTTCATCAACAGTTGAATTCACTGTAGCTGCCCATGATACAACTGGTGGGATGGTGACAAAGATAACAGAAGCCGCTATGATTGCAAAGCTTGGAATCGATGTCTACATAACAAAGGTAATATGTTTTCCTGGAAAGCCACTGAGGGTGAAAAGATACAGCCTATGCCTACTAGTTTGAGATTAAGGACTGATATATTATTTCTTTTCTTGTGTGCTGAGAAAGAAGTGAGGATTCATATAGCTGATCCCAACTTGTTTGGGACTGAGGCGTAGTCGTTGTTGTGGTTTTCTTGTGTGCTGAGATTTAGGTTGGTGCAGGCAGGAACAGACCACTCAGTCAAAGCCCTTAGTGGAATCTTGAAAGGCAGCATACCTGATGACTGGCTCGGAACAGCCATCAGGTATATGAGTTAAATCATCGATTACTGCAGTGAAACCTGGCCAGTATATTCGTGCAGCAAGGATGATGATTAATACAGTAAGAAGTGTACCAACTGGACCCCCTGAATGCGAGGGTTCAAATCATTTTAAGACCTTTTTATTTGGGTGAAGGCACTTACAAACAGCAAATTTTCGGTTTATAATGCCACTCGTACCTTGTTGAACCTTGCATTCGTTCACTAAAGCAACAAAAAGAAACGATCAACCAGTTTTATAGGGGCAGGGATTGTAACTTCTCCTTTTGATTGATTTTTGTTGTGATCTCCTTCTTCCTTCCTATTCCTAGTCACCTTTCCTTATCATTTTCTCAGATTTTCCTTATTACAGAACATAGCAGTATTGGATTAGAAAATTTCATTTTTTGGTCTGTTGGCAGATTAAATCTTATAGAAAGCATACCTCTCGACATCCCATCACAATTTTAGGTGATAGCAGAAGAAAATTTGTTTATATTCTAGCCGTAAAATGTCAATAATACGATGCCAAAACTCAACTTCATTATAAGAAAAATTCAAGTGCGCTAATTTAAGACGCCATATCTCAACTACACTATAAGAAGCATTCAAGGCCAGTGCAGAGATGAGATTAAACCTAGTCCCCAATGGTAGCCTAATCAAAGAAATTGAGGATGCAAGTTAATTACCAAGGAAATTTTTTTCTCAATCTAAGGAATTCCTTTTCGTCAAGTGCACCAAACCAGTATTGGACATTATCATCATCCATAGAAAAAGAGGTTAAGAAGATGCAAATGCAGGATAAAAGGAATTAGAATTGTGTCAACGCTTACAAAAAAAATTGTGCAGCTTCACAAAAGCTGAAGGTGCAAAATTGTATATAATGCAAGACTAACTTTTCCCACACCAAATTTGAAAACCTTTAACATAAACAGAACAAATTCCAACGCATATTAAAACAACAATCTAACTCAAGTCCTAATATTGATATAGGACCAAAATAAAATTGGGGCCTCCGATATCAAGAAAACCACGTAGATGTTCTTGAACAAGTTGGTCCGCAATCTTTTTCTGCTATTGCGATGTCCATCTCCATTAAGATAATAAATATTTTGCCTAGAGCAAGCGCTCTCAACGAATTTACTTTGGACCAATATCCTTCAGTGCACAAATCTGCTCCTCACCCATGGCAGACATGACAGACACAACAAGGTCTTTGCCCTCAGCAAATCCATCCTTGATCTGCACATTAAGCAAATTATAATGGTTAAGCAACCTGCAATATTTTCTCGAAATAGAAGAATTAACGACCAAACATAACTCCATTATAAGTTTCTCACAATGTGCACCAACATTTATAATTTTGACTTGAGGGCACAAAAATGCCCCTTTTACTAAAAAGCCTGCTCCATAAGCTGTTAAAATTCCAAGATTAAATGAATTGAGGTCATCTCATGAACCCACCTAAGCTTCCCTAGAGGGTCAAAAAAAAAAGGGCAGCCCGGTGCACTAAGCTCCCGCTATGTGCGGGGTCCGGGGAAGGGCCGGACCACAAGGGTCTATTGTACGCAGCCTTACCCTGCATTTTTGCAAGAGGCTGTTTCCACGGCTTGAACCCGTGACCTCCTGGTCAAATGACAGCAACTTTACTAGTTACGCTAAGGCTCCCCTTCCCTAGAGGGTTAGAGCGTGCATAATACAGGTAATTTACCAAATATTTATTTGGGCTTCAAAATACAACTTGGAAATAGATGCTGAAAACTTGGATAAGCCCGGTGCTTACTAACCTGCGTGAGAAGACTCTCATCTGTTGGAAGCCTGAGGTCATCCTTGGTACTACCATTTTCAGTGAGAAGACTCACCTATAATATAATAATGCACAGAAGATTACGACAAATTAATCAAAATAACAAAAAAAAACTGAGTGGGGAATAGGTATATACAAATCCATCCTCAGAGATGTCGATGAGTTGGTAATCTGTACGATTAACATGGGGGACCTGCAACAAACACAGTTATAATACATCAGAACGATTATATAATGAAAAGAATATAGCGAACTGCACATAAAGATCACCAGAAGCACGTACATCACAATTGTGTGAAGAGGGAACAATATCCTCGAGCTTCTTGCCAGTGAAGATATCAATCGCAACAAAGTGACATTTGGCATGTCCGTGCTTGCCAGTCTTGGAAGTAGACACTTCCACAACCTGTTACAAGAAGTGTGTACGTTAGCAAACACCGGAAGCACTGAAGGAAAAATTTATACAACGACAAACTTACTGATTGAAAAACAAAGAACAATGGCCAAATTTAATTTTTTTGTTGAAAGCTAGATGACCAATGACGATGTCCAATTCAGCAACAAAGTGAAAATCTTTTAAATCTAACCCCAAGAGTCAAAAGGGAGATTATTATTTAACCGAAGAATCCCTGAATGCACGTAGCACATGGTTGGAAACCAGACGGATGACGGGCCCACTCCCGTTCTCCACTTAACTAGGCTTTTGTCTATAGCAGGGTTCGAACCCACTCCCAACCCACAGATCACAAGTTGCACTTTTACCACTAGAAATTATTTTCTTTTGAGCTAATATCTTCTCTCTTTGAGTAAGACTTGCCTTAGATTAAGTCAGAAAATCTTTGTCATCAATATCACATATGTTAGTGTTATTATGATCCCATTATTAAAAACAAACTTCCATACTTTGAGCTTTTCACATGAGGTTAATATTTTCCGCTTACAAAGTAGTTATTAGTTAGAATCTATTTTATGTCTTGAAGCAGAATGTCTATTAACAGCAAAAATCTTTTCTTTGCACGAAATATATCATACCCTAATTCACAATCGAAATTTAGACAGCACAAAGATACAAACTTGAAACAAAAACTACAAATCTAAATCAGTAAAAACAAGTAAAATTATCCGCAAAAATGCATCAGATCTAGAATTTATAAATATTTAATAATACACATAAGCGTCGAGCAAAATAACAAAATTAAGAGAGAAAAACCTTGCAAGGGCGGGCTTTGATGACAATGTAACCGTTCTTACGGATAGTACCAGCTTGTTGAGGATAAGTCTTCGAAGCTCCGGCGTCGGCCTTTGACTCAAACTGATGCTCTTCGTCCGACATTTTCTCCAAAGGAGCTTCGAAGAGATTGATTGATGAAGAAATTGAAAGCACAAACAAAAATTAACAGAGGCGGAGGGAGGCAGTGAGCGCGTGTGCTTCTTATATATGGTTGTGTCAGTTGGAAACTTTGGGCTTTACATATTCTTTTTTAGGGTTTTTTTTGGATGATTAATTTTTAACCGTTGATTTAACTTGTCTGTGGAAAGATATTTCATTTCCCGTATGTGTTCTGCGTTGAAATGACGCTGTATTATTTTATTTTTAGGTTTTTTTTTATAAAAAATAAAAAAAGTTATTTTGAATTTTTGTAGCGGAGGGGTGTCAATAGTTAGAACAATTTATATCGTATCAATTTTTTTATTATTTTATAAAATTTGTATCATATCATTTGGTCTTTTCAAACTATTTTTAATTATTGCTTCAGATAATTTTGTAGGTCTTACAAACTATTTTTTAGTTTTATGACCATATCTCTTTTTTAATTGATGCTTGATCACGCCCAACTATGCCTTATAAAAAGGACAATGCGGTCGTTGCAAATATAATCCGGTTTACAAGTCCGGAGTCGAATCCCACATAGAACTAAGGTTTAGCTACAGCTGTTCACTATCACCAAGAAGACAAGCTTGAACAATTCCTAACTTATAGATATTAAGATTCTTGTGTTTAACTAATTAACTAACAAATTAAAATAGTAATTTAACAACTAAAGATACTGAGGGTTAGAGAAAAGATTAAGGAGGTCTAGAGTTATGATTACCCCAATTGTCGGAATCCTTCCCGCTATGTCTTCTATAATTTCGCCTAAGTATTCTCTACCTATCATGAGCACTCTTATTACCGTAAATCTCTCCCGAGTAATTACGACAATTTACTAGACGCACTCTCCCGAGCTACGCTAGCTGGCTTTTAATACAGCTCACTTCAGATCGCACCCAAGGCTTCGTTATCCCTAATCCCGCCTTTAAACCCTCGGTTATTGATCCCTCATATACTCTGGGAGTGGTGTTGTTCAACAATTACCTAAATATGCACTCTCTCCCGAGTTATGCATACTAAATAGGCACAGCTAATTGAGAGCTCTTCAATCAACCACAATATAAACGTAGTTGAACAAATAGAGAAAAGCTATGGCTCAATTATATAAAAACATAACAAGAATTTATCCTACAAAAGGTTCTATCAAAACTCTAGATAACAAATTAGCTATTCATAATAGTATGTAAAACTACAATACTAAAAGTCATAACCAACAATGAAAAATAGGAAGAGGAAGGAAAAACTTGTAGAAGAATTCTCCGCCTTGCTTCCAATGTGTTCTTGCCTCCAAGGGTGTTGTCTAACCCTAAAGTAGTGTCTCTCCGCCTCCTTAGGTCTAATTTGTGTCCAAAATATGTCCTCCTCTTGTTCTAGGCCGGCCTCCTTTGTTTTATATAGGGTTTAGGACTTAAAATCCCATGTTTTACACTTTAGCCCCTGAAATTTACGCTTCCCACCGCGGTTTCACCGCGATCGCGGTGGAACCGCGGCCAAACGCCCTCGCGGATTCTTCATTCTTCAGAAACTGCCTTCCACCGCGGTTCTGCCGCGGTTCTGCCGCGGTCGCGGCAAAACCGCGGTTTTTCGCCCTGTTCCGTTTGGAATTTGGGAAAACGTAAAACATGAAAGTTGTAGTCCTTTGAGTTAGCTTTCCAACCATATATTGTGGAGCCCAAATGGAATTCTGAGCAAAAAGTTATGTCTATTTTACTATACAGTGCGCAATATGCCTCCTCAAGTCTTCGTTCGTACTTAATTATCAAATTTGACCCCCGAACACGATCCCGGCTTAATTCCTTGAGCGTTTACTCAGACTTCAAAGCTTCAAATCACTTAAATTCATTCCATAACATCTATATAGCTCGGAATCACACCTACAAGGCATAAAACACACAATTAGTGCAAAACACTAGCGATTAAAGCGCAAACTCAATTAAAGTGCAGTAAATTCGAGTGTAATAAGCGACTAAAATATGCAATTATAGCCTATCATCAACGCTCTAAATTTGATACGTTCAAATCGGAAAAAAATTAATTGGTGGACAAAACGGGTACATATGTTAGTAGTAGATAGAAGATACCTCATGGAATTTGTTGTGGTACGCTCAAACTAGCCCGGGTATCATGGTCATTTAAAAAAATATCACAATTGCACGTGATGCAATTCAAATCTACCTTCGATTTTATAGCAATATCATTTCATAAGTCACACAAGTAATTTATT